GTTTTTAACCTTTCAGACAGATGTCCCACTCTGATTGTAAGTCCCAGAAGGGAGGCCCCAGTTCCCGGGCTGTGTTTGTGTGCCATGGAGATGTTTGCCATGGAGATGTTTGCCGCCCACTCAGTGCCCAGAACACTTCTCTTTGCCACTATGACCCCCAGTGCACAGATGAAGGGCCCAATCTGGTGTCCGTGCAGTCAAGGGAACGGCTCACAGTGACTGCGCTGGGTGTAGGCTGGAGCTGGCCTTACAGGGGTGTGAGTAAATCTCTTTCTCCTCTTCATCTACGTGTCCAATGCCCTCTCGGGTTCTGAACCAGAAGCAGCGACACTGACGTGCCCAGCAAGCTTTGCCCTGTTCTAGCAGGAGCAGACCCACAGTCAGTGTAAGAGGCACCAATTGTCCCCCTGCTCAGTGTATCCGGAGAACGGGGAGAGAGTTGTCCCTATCCAGAGGGGGAGGAGCTGGATTTCACAGGGAGCGATGCTTAGCTCTCTGATAGACCTCCCTCATACCTTGGGCTCTGCAGCCAGCTCAGCTTCCAGCAGGGCACAGGTGGGGAGGGAGGTTTTTGTATCACTTCCCCATCTGACAGTGTCCCTGTGATGAGCACTCCCTGTCCACACAGGGCAGTAATAATCACTTCCACATATTGTCCCAGAGCTTCAGGGCTTGCTTAGGGCCCCTCAGTTTTGAGAGTGGAGACACTTTCATCCAGCAGATGCAACACATGAAAATATCTGCAAAGACGGCCCCATGTGGATTCTATCTTCTGGCCCAGCAGGCAGCCAGTCATGGGGCCTTTCTTGCTCAGGATTCTCCATCTCCGCTGATTCCTCTGTCCCTTCACAGCCTGCGGTGCCCACTCTCTCTAGGGAATAATGGGCTAGGCAATAGCACTGCTGAGAAGGATCTGGGGGTTTTAGTGGATCACAAGTTGAATATCAGCCATTGTGAAAGAGGCTAATATTCTGGGGTGTATTAACAAGAGTGTCGTATGTAAGACACATTTGCAAGCCCGTCACAACCTATGGGGCGTTTTTCTCTGTTCCTCATCTGATCTCGTCATTGGGTCGAGCACCCCAACTCCAGCAGCACAGTAATAACCAGCATCATCCTCTGCTAGGGCCCCAGCGATGGTCAAGGACACGGTGTTACCAGACATGGAAGCAGTGAAACGCTCTGGGAAAACAGCAGCTCTGGCAGCGAGCACCTTGAGGAGCAGAGGGGCCCAGGCCATGGTGGGGAATCCAGATGAGCTCGGCTACCTGAGGTAAACGGGTCTGTGGCTGGAACCCTCCAATTCTCTCTCAAAGCCCCAGAGCTTTCCTGATCACTGCCAGGTACTGCGCCCCACTCTTCCTCTTCCCTCTTGACAAGGCTCCCAAACACCCTAGGAAGCCTCTATCCCATGCGCCACGTGCTGGAAGCTCTAGAAGCCCTCCTGGTGCCTTGTCGAACTGGTAGGAAGGCAGAATGTTTCCAGCTTTTCCCTGTTAGCATGGAGCACCAGAAGGCCCTGCAGGAAGATGGATGTTTCTTTGACAGTCGCTTTCCTTCCCCTCTTTCCAGGAGCAGCTTTTTTCCTGGCAGCGAACAAGTGAACTCAATCGCAAAAGCAGTGACCTTCCCCTGCCCTGCTTTGCCAAGGGTTTGGGACAGAACCAGAGAATCGTCTGAGCCATACAAGGGTACAAGCCCCCTTCCCTGGCAGAATCCTTCTTCCTGCTCTGCCTCTGTAACTTCTTTGGCATTTATTTCTTCCATTCTTCCTTCAAACCCTACTGCTGAAGCAGGGCACAGTCCAAGAGGCTGGAGGTTTTCATCTCAGTTCCCCTGGTGGATGTCTCACTGTGATAGCCCTTCTGCTTACTATCCCATGTATAGCAGTAATAGTCATCCTCATCCTCTGCCTGCACCCCAGAGATGACTAAATTCCAGAGGTTGTTGGAGGAGTCAGGGGAGACGGTGAATCGCTCTGGGATCCCTCTGCCTCTGCCCTGGTCACCGCTGGTGTAATAGTGGTACACAAACCGTGGGGCACTGCCCAACTTCTGCTGGTACCATCGCACCCTGTCATTGCCGATGCTGTACCCACTGCTCAGAGCACAGGAGAGCTTTACCCTAGTTCCTGGAGGTTCTGCCACTGAGAGCGGCTGAGTCACCACGAGCTGGGAGCTGGTGCCTACAACAACAAGACCATACACACAATTGCCACAAATGTTAGCCTCAGCTCCCATGGGCCTTTACATCCCAGAGAAGAGCCTTGGGCCAGCAAAGCCTGGTCTAGCGGGGTGTCCTCACCTGTGCACCATGCCCCCAGGAGAACAATCACAGGAGCCCAGAGCATTGTGCAGAGATTTCAAGCACCCAGGAGAAGCTCTTCAGTCACCCTGGAACCTGCTCCATGCTCCCAGCTTAAATTTCCCTCAGCAGAACCATCCCGAGCCTTTATGCAAATCTGCACAGCTGTTATTGGCTCTCTGCCTCAGTGGTAGGGCATCATGGGAAAATCAAAGCCTGGAAAACTCCATCCTGCCTATCAGCCATCTGACCCTGATGTAGGAAGCACCTTTGTAGTCAGTGAGGGAGTGGCAACAAGCTCCACTGAGCCGTGCTATTGCGGACAGCAATCCCTGGCAGATTCAGCTGCAGGGCCAAGGTTGGGGATTTCCAAGGCTGTCACTAAGGAAAGAGCCTCTCGACAGTGCCAGATTTAAGGGCAGGCAACTGCCTGGGGTGCCGAGTTTGGGGAGCGTCGGCCTCGGGGGGCTGGTTTTGTTGTTAGGAACAAAGGAGAAAATAGAATGTTTGAAGTAAAACGTTTCAGGTGTGCCGTATGTGGATTCATTTTTCACTGACCTCCTAGAATGTTCTGGACCTTTGTAGAATCTCGTGGAACCTTCCAGACTTTCTGAGAACTAAGAGTGAGGTGAAGTTGGAGCCCAACTGTGACATTGTGAACCTTGTTTTCTTGTTTAATTGTGAAAGCGTACTTGTGTTTTAATACCTGAAGAGTGTAAGTAGTGACTAAACAAGGACATATTCAAGAGATCTCTTTCGAACCCATTTGCTTTTATATGGCATCAATAAATACAGATTTAGAGATCCTAGAGTTCAAATTTATCGTCGTTTATGACAGGGATAAATCATGCACGCTAATCATGCATCAAAGTCGTAAAATGGGCTACAAATGCAATAAAAATACAGGAATCAAAACTTTAACAAATGGGGAGATGGGGGCACCGAAGACTCCTCGCTGGGGGCGCTATTTGGTCCCGGACCGACCCTGCCTTCAGATAGTCTAGCGAGATCTACAATTATCTCAAGTTCTAGGGCCCTAAGGCCTTCAACTTCCCAAAGCCCTTCCCTTGGGACGCAAGTTACAGAGGGGTGTGTTGCTAATGCGATTGGGCGGTCTTAGACTGCCACCTGCTGGTCTGTATAGAGTCTCTCAGGGCTTAAATCCTGTGAGGTCCTGACTGCCTCTCAATTGACCTCAGTCAAACCCCAACTCTTGTGTCTCTAAACAGCCCCGGTGCTCTCAGCCTCACTGACTCCCCGACACGCTTCCTGTTATTGCTTCGGTCACAGCTCAGAGGCCCGGCACTCTGCAGAGACCTGATTTGTACTGAAAAGTGTCGTTTCACAGGTTTGGAAAGTGTGATCCCTTGTGTGGATGGGTCCCCGTTAGACGGTCCCACACTTTAGGGCCCAGGCACATAGGGAAAATCCACAGCAATGATCCCCTTGGTCATGCTCCGCAGCATCCCATCCACGCAAGCTCCATGAGCCCAGATACCACGTGCCCTGCGTGGCAATTAAAGGGCAAAACCGGAAATCCAATCCCTTAATGCTGACACTGGTTTGGTCTTGTAGGGTTGCTGGGGAAGGACGGCTTTCTAAAAGGAATGTTTTAAAGAATATTGAGGATTATTCTGAAAAGCAAAAGCGAAGCCTTCAATGATCTTTACAAAGAGGCATGAGAAATAAGCGGCAGAGCCCACTGGCCTCCCAGCCTCGGCATTGTCTCAAAGGAACACGGACCAGGTTAGAACTTTGCTGCTCAGCTGGAGGGAAGTTGCACCTGGGCAAAGGACTCCAGTGGCGGCAGCTTTAGGTCCCCTTGTCGGTACTGGCTTTGCTTTACAAATGTGGAGTACGTGGCGCTTGGGCGCCCCCTGGGCCCGATCCAGGGAAGTGCTGAGCACATGCAGCTCTGGTGGAAGTCAGTGGGAGTTGGGAGCCCTCAGCACCCGAGAGGTGGGCTCACTCTACTTGCAGGAGGACAACTCCATGCAAATAGGAACATCAGCACTAGCGTCTGTGAGGGCGCTGTAGGAGAAGGAAGGTGAGATTACCCTTGTCTGTGTAACTCAAGAGGCCACGACTGGAACAGTGTGTCCAGGTCTGGGGTCTGCAATTTTAAAAGGCCATTGACAAGGTAGAGAGGGTTCAGAGAAGAGCAACGTGAATATTTCTAGGCCTGGCAAACACTAATCGTCGGCTGAGTGACTTTCTCTCTCACTATTTAGTTTGTCAAAGAGAAGATTAAGAGGTGACTTGATCAGATACTCAGGGCTGTTTAATCTAGCAGACCAAGGCAGAACAAGATCCAATGCCTGGGAGCTGCAGTTAGAAAAATACAAACTGGAAATGACATGCACAGTAGTTAAGCACTGGAGCAGATTACAAAGGGCTGTGGTACATGAAGCCTGTGCAGGGTCTTTCTAAAAGAGATGGGCGAGTTCCACCAGATGTTTTGGGCGTGAGGCAGGAATTACTGCGTGAAGTTCTGTGGCCTCTCTCACACTGGAAGTCAGGCTGGATGATCACAATGGTCCCTTCTAGGCTGCAACTCCACAGAACTATGATCCGGAGCTAGAAGTGTAATAACGGTACCAGCCATTAGCCAGAAGAGCTCTTCAAAAACCAGCTTCGGCTGGTCCCATATCACAGTATAATGCCTACTGTGGAATGGTTCCCACTGGTATCCTTGGGGCTGTGATCCCTCGTGCCCTGGTTTGATTTCCTTACTGTCTTTAACACAGTCTCTCCATCAGGCCAGTGAGGTTGTGTCAGTAAAGGCCATAGCTTTGTAAGGCAATGAGGACTGACAGGAATTGGAGATCACATTTAGCCAGGAGCCAATCGACCGGGGCATCTCAAAGGAACAAGAGACACGCAGATGGGCTCCAGGCACTGTGTCACTATGGGTGAGAGGAGGGTTTTGTTCCTCTTCTCTATGCAGCTGTATCACTGTGTACTGGTTAGATGTGCTCTCATCCCAGTCTGAGCAGTAGTAATCAGCATCGTCCTCCCCTTCAGCCCTGCTGATAGTTAAAAAGCAGGTGTTCCTGGAAGGGTCTTTAGAGGCAGTGAACCTGTCAGGGACACCAGAGCCTTTATGCTGGGTAGAGTCATCCTTGTAATTCAGCAGGTATCTTGGTTTCTCCCCTTGCTTCTGCTGGTACCAGCGTATGTAGGCATTGCTGATGCTGTATCCACTGCTCAGAACACATGCGAGTTGGGCAGTTTCTCCTGGAGTCACTGACATAGTGAGTGGCTGAGTCAAAGTTAACTGGCAGCTGGAGCCTGAAACAACACAGAACCACAGGTCACCAAAGGGTCTATAAATGTGGGTGTGCCATGCACCAGGCACACTTCCTGACCTAGCTTCTGAGATCAAGCATGCAGTTATATTTACCTGCCCAACAGGCTACCAGAACGAGCAGAGTGGTGACCCAAGCCATCCTAGGAACAGCACATCCCAGCCAGAGCGGTCTCTGAATTCAGTGGTGCCTTCTCCGCTTGCTTCTTAAACCCTGTGGTGTGAGCAGACATCCTGAATGCAAATCTGGATGCCTCTGATAGGCTCCAAATAATCCTCAGCTCACTGGCACCCACCCCACAGGCAGCCGGGGACAGTCGGTGCGTTGCTGGGCTAGGAGTAAGTGGTGACGGCCTCAGGTATTTTTATCCCATGAGGACACCCTTGAAAAATGTTTCCACCAGATTCCCCACAGCTGTTCAATTGGTTTGTTGCACTGTACAGTGGGAGGGGAGGACAATGGATTCCCCTGACCCTGTATCACTGGAGTCGCTGCTGAAGGCGGGACACAGGCCCAGTGGGGCGGATAATCTGTTCCAGTGTGGAAGGGTCGTTCCCTGACAGAGTTTATTGGTGGCTCTGGTCTCCAGTGGGTTCTCTGCGTTATCCCCCACAAGTGCAGAAGCTCAGCACCTTGCACTGCATGGGACGGAGAAGGGGCGGTTGTGAAGGAGCTCGGGAAAGCCATGATCTGCCTCTGTCTAATGGTCTGTACAGAGCAGAGAATGATAAACTGGCAATCGAGAAGCTGCACCAGGTGCTGTTCAGCTTATCCAGCAAGGAGCAGCAAAGTAAGTCGGCCCTCGCAGCCGTACAGGGAGAAGTGGCCACCCTTCCGCAGACGTCTAATGAAAAGCCTGTGTTGTGGAGGCCTCTCTGCATTTCATACACATTTCCAGGCACCCTTAATAACCACTTTGCTAATGAGCTCCTGGGGGGTTGCAGGAGGAAGAGCCCTGACCAGCCGCAGAGCAGCCCGTGCCCTGCTGGTACAGGAAAGGGATGTTTTAGGGTTTCAAGGCCTGGCGCAATCGACAAACCAACATTCTACCTCTGGCAGTATCAACATCTCAGCATCCTGGGATGGCGCTGGAAACAGAATCTACCCAGCCATTACCCGGAGGTTTTTATTCTGGATTACATGGATATTATCTCGGAAGTTTCTGACATTACCAAGATGTTGCTGCTCAGGGCATTTTTACTGCAATGAGAGGGATCTTTCAAAAATGAAAATCCATCAGCTACTATGAGTTACTCCAGCTGTGTTCCATTGATACCGCAGGTGAAGTGACTTGCTTAGTTTAGAGAAGACAACTTTTCAGTGTGATAAGGGGATAGATGGTTTCAGAGCCAACCTTTATTGGTGTTTATGACAACTACGCATCAGTTCTTGTCATCAGCTTTAGCATTTCTGACTTCCCCTATGACAACACTTATTATTACGCTTGGCACAATTCAATTTTTGAATATAATTTCGACAGATAATATCAATGTTTATTTTTACACTTTTTTCTATTTTTATCTCTTTAAATTTTCACAGTTGCGGGAAATTCTGGGTGGCTCAGACAACAATTATTCAATGACAGTAGATGTTGAGATTCAAAATGCTAAAGCTTTATCACCATTAAAACACAAATGATCAACACCACGTGTCAAAATACACCCACTACATATCCTTAAATCAAACCTTTGTAAGTTCTCAAGTAGCATTTTCTTGCTTTGCCTATCTGTAAAATTTGATTATTACTCATGGAAATATTTTTGGTTGTTTTTTGTGTAAGCTGTGAAATCGACATTTACCACTAAAAATCGAATCTTTCCAAACCTACTTATTTGGTGGAGTGTCTTATGTTTATGAAATTTCTAACCCCTGCTTTCATCACTTTTCTGACTCGCACAGAGACAATCCTTTTAGTGCGTGAACCTTTCAGTGTTGCTAACCGCGAGTGTTCAAAAATCAGGACTCAGACATTAAAAATCCCGACATTGGCTTAAAAATCAGGAGATTTTTCAATAAAATAAATGTGGGGTGCTTTTATTTGCCTTGTGGTTCCTGTGCCTTCAGGGTTCCCATTTGCTAGATTTTCTCCACAACCACGAGGGCAAGAAAGTTATTTAAAAAATAAAAGCTGAGATTCTCCTGTGATCAGCTGTCTCCGGAAGCTCGGGCTTCAAGGAAAACCCCAAACATGAGGAGATTTGCAATAAAATTATGAGTTGGTAACAACACTGATCTCGTTGCTTTTTGTGGAGGTTTCACTCCTTTGTTTCTATTTCATCTCTACAATGTGTCCGGTAAGTTTTTTTTTATCAAAGTCCTCAACACAGCAGTGCTTCCGATAAGAACCACTTCAGCTATGGGAAATGATCACATACTTTGACTAAACCTGCTCACTCAGTTACCTCTTTGGGATTGCTCCTGTGCGGGTTTAGCCCTATAATGGATCATCTCATACACACCTGATAGGTCAGGTAAGCCAAGCTCTGGCACAGGGGACAGCCTCACCTCTGAGATCAGAGAGCTAGCCCCACTAAACCAAGCCAAAGGGCTCTATACTGGTCTAGCTCTCCTTCATCCCTGAATGCATAGTGCCCCTAACTCAGCCTAACCCTCATAACAGAGTGACTCTCCCCTGCTCCCCCTTCTCATCGTGCCTGGTTTCCCCAGTAATGAGCAATTACCTCCAGCTGAATCCAGCCCCTGACTGGGCTCCCCAGCAATCGCTTCAGTGAAGCCAGACACCTGCTGAAGACTCCCTGCTGAGGGAGAGGGTTTTAACTCTCCCCAGGTATGGCCAGCGCTTTCCCCTGACAAGCCTCTCCACTGCCCCTAAAAAGGCAGATTGGATGCAGGTCAATAGCTATGAAGACTGTCAGTGCACAGACAGGGTGGTTTGAGCTCACGCTGTCCAAGAGCTCCCTTTGAAGTGACTGATCCCCACCTCTCACAACAATGGATCCAGTGCTTTGTCGCTGGCTTTTCCCAGTTAAGGACACCTCCAAACCCCCCGAGTGTCATCAGCACATGGCCTGAGAGGCTCTACTCAGTACTGGGGCACAACTGTGCACAAAGCCCCACAACTGCTGGGAGAGCCCCTGTGGGATGAGGAATTCCTTTGCACTCGTGCGTACCGTGCGCCGCTCCAGGGGAATGTGGGAGATTCTGCAGACAGGAGCATTGTCCTGTCACACAAATCACTGCATGGACCTGAGTCCTGTTTTCTGTACCAGAACTTGGGCAAATCAGACCACTGGAAGCCCCATGTCTGACCAGGGGATCCTGCCCCATGTGATGCACTTTACCTCCTGGGACAGGGACAGACCCCTCCCAATCCCCCGCCGTCCCACCCCTCTCTCCGTGGGGCAGGCTGGCAGGAGGAGGTTGGTGGAGCGGCTGATGGACTCTCACAGGGAGAAAAGGACATCACCCCCGAATGGAGATGGGGGATGAGTTGCCCAGACTGGTTTGACTGGAGGGGAAGCTGGTCAGTCCCAAACTAGGAGAGGAGGCCAAGTGCACAGCTCAACCTCTGCCCCCCACACCAGGTCAGAGTGCGGGAGGGGGGAGGCGGAGGAGCTGTCTTTCCTCTACACATGCAGGCCCCCACCTGCCCCCTTGCGGGGAGTGAGGGGCACAAACCCACTGAGGATTACTCAGGCTGCAGGGGGACGTCTGAGGCCCAACTGCAGCCTGGGCAGGTCCCAGCAGGGCACCGACCGCAGAGCAGAGGGGAGGCAGGTTTGGGTCTCTGTTCCCCATCTGAGTGTCTCACTGGGTAGCCTTAAAAACCCCTCCTTGATAGAGGTGAGTGAGGCAGTAATAATCAGCGTCATCCTCCGCCAGGGCCCCGCTGATGGTTAAATAGGCCATGTTACCGGAGCTGGACCCAGAGAACCGCTCAGGGGTCCCTGACACTTTCACGTTAGCGTTGTAGATGAGGAGGCGAGGCACCCCGCCCCGCCGCTGCTGGATCCAGTATGGGTATTCGCTGGTGATGTCAGATAAGATGCTCAAGCTACAGGAGAGTTTGACAGTCCCTCCAGGAGACACCAACAACGAGGGCTCCTGAGTCACCGCATACTGGGAGCTGGCACCTGGAAAGCACAGTACAAACAAAGCCATGAGATCCGCCCTGCGGCATGACACATTTGTGTGAAATTCCCGAGAGGAAGGGGGAAGGGAAGTTCAAACCCAGTCAAGGGCTGCCCTAGCACCATGGGCCCCTCTGTCACCTGAGCAGTAAGTGAGCAGCGTGAGGAACAGAGGGGCCCAGGCCATGGTGGGAATCCAGACAAGCTCAGCTTCCTGAGGCAAACGGGGTCTGTGTCTGGGAACCGCTGATTCTCTCTTAAATCCCCATCACTGGAGAATGGCCCCATCATGCAAATCTGCTCCCTGCTCCCTGGCTGCTGCTCTGGGCACCTGCATCGCCCCAAGACAGGGCAGAGACACACAGGGGATCTTTCTTACGTTTGCTGTGACTGTAAAGTAATGAGCTATATGAGGGAAAATACTAAGAAACTCCAGGAATCTGCTGGATTAGGCCTAGTCCCCTCTCCCCTCAGCTTCAGTGCTATTCCCAGTCCCATATGTCAGTGGTTCTCAACCAGGGGTACAAGTACCCCTGGGGGTACACAGAGGTCTTCCAGGGGGTACATCAACTCATCTAGATATTTGCCTAGTTTTACAACAAGCTACACAAAAAGCACTAGCAAAGTCAGTGCAAACTAAAATTTCATACAGACAATGACTTGTTTATACTGCTCTATATATGATACACTGAAATGTAAGTACAAGATTTATATAATCCAACTGATTTATTTTATAATTACATGGTAAAAATGAGAAAGTCAGGTATTTTTCAGTACTATTGTGGCTGTGACCCTTGTGTATTTTTATGTCTGATTTTGTAAGCAAGTAGTTTTTAAGTGAGGTGACACCTGGGGTACACAAGACAAATCAGACTCTTGAAAGGGTACAGCAGCCTGGAAAGGTTGAGAGCCACTGCACACACTGGTACCCCAGGTTTGCTGCTGAGTTAGTTTGTGATGCAATACACAAAGGATTATCCTCACACTTCCTTCCCCTGAGCAGTACCTCCCTGAGCCCAGTGACGTGTTCAGCTCTGCTAAGGGTGACCCGTGTCCAAAGACGGGAAGCCGAGCTGTAATGATCTGATTTCCTCCATTCTCGGCTGCAGTCGGCCAGTCTCACTGGGTTGATCCTGTTCTGTTCTCACTTTGGAGCCAGTTTGGATTATTTTGGGGCTCTCGCACTGGCTGCTGTGACGTTTCCACACACACACAAAGCCAAACACGTATTTGGCCGTCTAGATGACTCATTTCAA